GGACAAGCCAAGGATGGCCCTAGACCGGTGCATCGGCACAGCCTCGGTGTTGTCCCGATTTTGTCGACCCGGTATTCATAAGTAACTCCGACGAGTACGTTCCGTCCATCGCGGGACATGGTCTGCGTAAAAAGGCACTGTGGCACGTACACACTGGCCATGATTACACGTCAGCGCATCCCGACCCGTGCCGATACGGCCCCAGCTGGTCGTGCGCGTGCCCTCGCACCTCCAGGCGGTTTTCTCCGTGCACCTTCTGGACGGACGCATTGTGCGCACACAACCTATTTTTTACTGCGCCCGACGGCGCGCATTGAGGCCGGCTCTCGCTCCCCCGACGTGCGCAAGCTCACTTCCGGCATGGGCCTCTTTATGTCCACTGACATCCTCTGACAGCGGCATTTCCGTTCACCGCGGAGTGTAGACTGTCCAATTCCGAGGGACAGCTGAGCAGGAGGGCTCGGCTTGTAGGCCCCTGTGCGCGCCAGTCGTGTGCGCGTGCCATACTGGTGCTTCTATTGCCCACGCTAGATATTCACCGCGCCTGGATCCGCCGGGTACGTCCCTCACTGCCGGCGTGTGGGCGCGGGGTCGAATTTGGGGCGCGAGCGAAATTGCGGCTGCGAACCGGATAGGCGAAGAGGCCGGGATGAGGGCCCACCGTATAGCCGTAGCGATGGTGTCGACTGAAACATCGAGCGTGCAGTTCAGACAGAGCATGCAGTCCATGTAGGGATCTCGGAGCCTGGTAAGGCATCGCATAGATCCAGCTCTGGATTCGATGTCCAGACTCCTCTAGATGTTTCTGTCGTGTTTCCGCTGACAGTCTGCTTACGACCCTGCTCATCACAATCAGGCGCTGATATTTTATTCAGCTTTCGCACAATACCCCTGCAATATCCCCTTTTGCGCCTTACGAACACTCTTGTCTGCAGGTCCCCACAGAGGCATAGATCCGCCAACTCTTTTCTTTTGGCTTACAGCCCTTTTCTCCGGTGCCGGAAGTTCGAACGTGGGCACGCAAGCACCGACCAGCCTCTGTCATCCGCGACCTCACTGTATGTTCTCGGCGTCAAGCGGTCAGGCCGCTTAGGTACTGTGGGATCGTGCGGCCTAGGCGGGTTTGACGAAGATCAATGAGTGGACCTGAAACCCGGCCGGGCCCGCAGGCTTGCCGAGGACAAGCACTTGGCCCACGCAGCGCCGTCGGAGTCCGGTTACTTGGTCTGCTCCGGCGATTCCGGTGGTGCAGGCGCGCGTAGTAGAGGGCATTCCGGAGGTAAAGACCTTCATTAACCGCGAACGGAAGAGTGGGTCCCGCGGAGGTACTAGAAGCGCTGCTAATGTATAGCACAAACTCGCTGCGCATTTACGCGTCGGCGAAACGACGACTTGGCCGTTCACCCGCATATGGTTACCTTCATCTTTATATGTATCCAGCTGCGATGACAACTGCTATCTATTTAGCATATCGCCCAATCATGCATGGCCGCGTAGGCACGCTTTTATTGGACTGTATCTTGAGTTGCTGCGTGAGTATCCGGTCGTTCGAATGCCGTCGGATGCCCTCTAGCTGAGGGGATATAAGAGCAGCGTATCGCCTGCGGCGCCGACCCGGTGACTCCAGCGGCTCGCTAACGCGCCACCCCAGTTAGAAATCAGTTACGGATGCCGGCGTCGAACAGGACGAAGGAGCTTACGCCCATTGGCCATGCCTGTGACCTTGAGTCATACCGCACCAAGGTGTATGCCCCGGTAATCCATTTCCTTGTATCCAAGATTAACACCTCTTCTGTAGAACCGAACCGACCTCTCCTTGCTGTATATGTGGCTGTAGCAGTCCTTGACCAAGACCTCGACGTTCTTACTCCATATCGGCTCCTCACCGGCCTCACCGGCGGTTGGTGTCTTTCCAAGCTTTTTCAGCCCTCTCCGTACCATACATATCCATATCAGTCCCCTCTGCGCCCGCCGCTTCCACCCTTCTAAACAGACTTTGCTCCGCATGCTACCCACCACTCTCGGGAGACCACAGCGACGTGACCAACATCAAGAAGGCGAGCAGGCCTCGCGCCTGGCCCCGCGCCGTTCCCGCCGGCATCTCATCGATACCGGCGAACAGCCCCTTTCGCAATAATAACCGTGCCCACTCACAGGAACATCGCCAGTCAAGCGAAATAGGTCTTCTGATGGCCTGCCCGTCACACAAACTTGCACGGTATGTACGCACGGGCGTGGGACGAGTGCTCGTCCATTCCGCCGAGGCACTGTCGTTCAGCGGCTCCTCCGAGGAGCGGCGCCCGAATTGCGCTCAGTATGCGAAGAAGTACCTTGTTAGCCGTACAGGGCCTAGGCCCCTGCAGCGTACTATTGCTCTCTACAATTAGCCCGTGCTCGAGATCCGCACGGCGATATGCAGTTGAATCTACTAGTGCATAGCGTCCATATTCCTTCATTTTTCTATGCATTAGCAGATTTATGCATTATCAGATTGCATTTGAGCAGGAAGACGGCCTTTTGAACCCGCAAGGCGTTATGCAAGATGGGGTTCTATGCATTTTCGGGCTATCGATATCCATTAGTAGAGATTCGACCGTAGAGACTTGGCTGTGGCAGTGGAGGTAATCAGGCGTGTACTGAGTATGTTCATGTGAGCAGGGCGTTGTTTGATCATCGCGAAGACACTGTTGGCCCCACTGACGATGCGCCTTCGATGGCATCAGCCTGAGGCGAGCGTGTGCTCTCATGCCTTTCGCCGGCGGCTGCAGTCCCAGCGTCCAGCAACCCAATTTGCTGCGGCTGGAGTACTGACTGCGGGATGATTCCTCGAAGGCGGCCCGACGGATTGATAAACACATTTTGCACTTCTCTTTCTTCCAGAATGGATAGACGTTTGCGCGGATGTCTCCGTGCTACGGCATGAAATTGAAGACTCCATGTAGACCGCTCATCCTGAGCAGTCTAAACTAGCGCCGATCGTCATCGCTACGCTATTTCCCATCGCATGCTGTGATTCAGCTCATCGAGCTATAGAAGCATCAGCTTCTAGAAAGGCGACGGGAATAGGCCGAGGCGCACGCGCTGCGACCATCCAAGTACGCCCGCTACTGTACGTCCTGCACAGCCACTAGCTCCCCTACCAATTGCAGTGAGTGGAGGAAGAGGGACACGTGAGGCGGGGGGACGCGGGTCGGGTGACGCCGACGTAGTCTCGGAAAGAGACCGAGGTACGGTTTGCGTGGACGTGACGGTCGAAGGAAGCGTGAGTTTGGCACCAAGTATAGCAAAGTTCGACGGTTAGGGGCACTACACCTGCAGCAGGAATGGTGGCCGCAGTGGCGCACATCGTTAGCTGATTCTACGGTTTGCACTGGCCCTGAGATGCTGTAAGCAGTGGCGCAATACACAGGGTCTTCGAAATAAGCTATAAGAATGCTATGAGATATGGAGATGGACGAGCAACCGACCGGGGGTAGGAAACCACGCGAGGTCATCTTACCGTCCATTCGATATGATATTTGCAAGCTGTTAATCTGAAGAGCCGCTCATGAAGTGGAAAGAAGATATGTCATCCACATACTATGCGCAATGCTATGCTTTGGTTTACAGTATTGTACAGAGCCAGGTTCACTACACTAACTCCGCCACGGCATCGTAAAACAACGGAAAGCTCGATGAACAAAAACAAAAGGGCGGAAAAGCATGAACGAAAGTGAATAAAACAGAATAGTACGGTACTCGCGCGACGGCAGCGGATGCTAACGAAGCGTGAATTTTTGGGAAAGGCGGACAACAGGGTGGATATCGTATTACAGGCCTCGGTCGAGGGGCGAGTACGCGTACAATATTGACACGGTTAGGCTGACGGCGACGTCAGACACACCAATGGGGTTGCGGGACCTAATTGCATTTCCTAGGGGTGGCAGGCCGGGCGGGAGAGGCACAAATTCGTAGCTCCTGGGGTCTTGCGGCGCGCTGGTTTGCGGGTACACAGGGTGACGTGGGTGGCGGCCTAATCCTGGCGGCCTAACTCTGCTTGCGTAAGGTTGAGGGTGAACTGGGCGCGATGGTTCGCTGGCGGCTCAATGAGCTTCACAGGCTTGCTAGCCTTGCCTTTGTCGGATGAGGTCGTGATGTGCGAGATAGACGCGAAGGGGCGCAGCGGGCGCGATGTGGGGAAGGAAGCACGTTGTGACTGACGCTGTGCGGGCCTGGGAAAGCTGGTGGCGGTAGCCGCACCGCGCTGGACAGGACGGGCGGAAGATGCGTCGGCGAGAGGCGAGGTCGCGAGCGGGGACGAGACACGGGGACGAGCCACGCCGGTGAGAGCAGTAGTTATGGTGAGCGTGGCGGTTGCTGACGGGAGATGAGCGAGTGAGCAAAACAACGGATTAGAGTAACATACCCATTGGACTGGACTGGAGGTAGTCAGGGAGAGGTGTGGGGGAAAAGAATGCGGGGTAGTTGGAGAATGTAAATGAGCGAGATGGAGGGTATTTGAATGGTCGTCAAAGCTTTGGGGAGAGAGGTGCCGCTGGGGACTGCCGAGGGCCATCCGTGACGCTCAGATCCGCTGTCAGCTCGGCCCATCCATGTTTACGCCGAAGACGCCGAGCCTCTCCGCCTCTCCGCAACAGCCTCCCATCCCTTCTGTCTATCGGTTTCTACCCTTCTCTTAGCTCCTTCAGTCTCTTGCTCCATTGTGCTCGACCCTTCTCCTCTCGTTTACCAAACGCTTTCATCACTTCTGCCATAAGTACCATACCACATCCCCAATGAATTGTCTTGTTATCTTAGACACCCTTCTCCCGAACTCGCCCGTGCACTCAATTAGTTTGCGTCTCGAGCGTAAAAAGGCGGTATTGGCGTGGCGCCTATTCTCCTTATCTCCGTTCGGAGTCATTCAGTCTTCCCCGCCTTCCCCAACCCCAAGCCCAAGTTAATTGCCGGCCTGAGAAAATTAAACAAATAAAATTCTCTAGTGAAGACGTGTCTAGGTATGCTCCCTGCAAGGCTCGAACTTGCGACCTCAGGATTGCACGGTCTAAGACCGCTCATAGAAATATGAGACCTGCGCTCTAGCCAACTGAGCCAAGGAAGCATAGTAGAGAGTGATGTTTTCAAGTTATGGACAGCTCAAGAACGGGCTACGGTCACGCTTCGACGCGTCGCGTCCTCGGGCTATCCCTTTGCATCGACACCCATGTCTACTGTCCCCGTTACTCCTCGACACGCACGACAGCCAAGCGCATCCGTCCATGTTGCAACTCCTGCATCTCGCGTTCCAAGCGGGTCCATGGTTCATGCTTCCCCTCACTATCAAACCACGCGCCGGCATTCACTCTATGGCACAGAGGATCGTGTCGTGATTGACCCCGGGTCGCGCATTTGGAAGGTCGGTTTTAGCGGAGAGGGTCGTCCTCGCGACGTCTTCCTCGTTGATTCGCTCTGGGGCCTCAGTCGTGCTGCCGAGATTGCCGATCGTGAGGAGGAAGACCGTCTACTCGAAATCTACGTACGGGCTCAGCTTCGCTCAGTATTCCACGAGTGAGTACACGTCCCTCATCGGTGCGCAATACGGCCGATTGTGATGTACAAGTTAGTATTCTGCTAACAGATCCCAAGTCGCGCAAGGTGATCTTGGTTGAGCACCCGTTGTTACCTGTCTACGTCAAAGACACCTTTGCTCGCGTATTGTTCGGTAACATGCAGGTGTGGAGCTCGAGCCTACTCATTTCAGAACCATCTCATTAGCTCGAAAGGTCCCTTCGATTTCCTTTGCACCAAGCCATTTGCTGTCCTTGTTGTCGGTGGGCCGGATAACAGGCCTGGTTTTGGATTGTGGCAATCTGGAGTCCACCGCTCTTCCGGTGAATTCACTCGCATCACTCTGCCTAACATGACGCCAAATCCCGCAGATATTCTCCGCGCGGCCACTATTTCCGCAACTTAGGACTACACCTTTAGCCGGTGCGCGATTAACGGCCCACCTAAGGGCACTACTCCTGCTTTTCGGCACATATCTGCCCCCGCCCACGTCCCTTAGTGGCTCTGCCAGCATCCCCGCTGCTACGCGGTCGACGCGCGTGCCCCAGGAGGTCCTTACGGATGCGGTGATAGAGGATATAAAGACGCGCTGCTGCTTCGTAGGCGACCCGCTCGACGCCTCGGCGGATATGCAAATCTTGGGCACGCCAAGCGAAGATCCAATGGATCTTGATCTTCCGCCGAGCGAGCGTGCACCGTCTGAGTCCGATTTTTCGCGTGTTTCGCACGATCTTGACAGCACGGCCGCTTCGTCCGGATTCTCTGTTGTCTCGCGCTCGCAGGTCGGGCTAGCGCGCAACGAGAGTCACCTTGAAGCTCTCGCGAACATGTACAAGCGCCACTCTACCGCCACGGACCTGCAGCTCAAGGTCACGCCGCCCGCCACGCAGCAAACTGGCACCGGTCTTGGCACTCTCGTCATCCCTGGCTGGGTTCGTGAGAGGGGCGCAGAGGTGTTATTTGAGGGCGGAGATATCGACGAGACCAGCGTAGCAGAGACGATTCTCGATTCATTGCTCAAAGTCAGTTCATCTAGATCTTTAATCGGCGGCGTCGCTCTAACGCTGATATCGTTGCAGGTGCCGGTGGATCTGAGACGCACGCTTGCCTGTTCAATACTAATAACTGGCGGGACCGCCATGCTACCCGGTTTTATCCAGCGCCTGCACTCGGAATTGCTTCGCGCCATTGCCTCGTCAGCATCATCAGCAGGACGACCGCCGATGCGGCCCGACCGACCGCGGCCGCCAGCGTACGACCGCTACGCAGTGCTTCGTCCATTGGTCCCTCACTTGGCCGTCCTTAATAACCCGTCGCCGCCGCCTCCGACGGGAACGCGCGGTAATGCACAGACGGGCAAGGCGCCTGCGTTCGCGCCAGCAACGATGCCTTGGGTTGGAGGTTCCCTTGCGGGGTGTGTCACCTGTCCCCCCCTCTCACGGCCAGCAGTCAGAAGCTGACGCAGCATTCGCACAGGTCCCTCAAGACAGGTGGCGTAGAGCTTTCGAGAGAAAAGTGGGATGAAGCGGCCGAGGAAGAGCGACAGTCGGCCCGAGAAGACGCGTCTGAGGATATGCAGCGGCGAGTCATACGGAACGTCCTGCCGGACTGGACCAGGATGCCTCTTCCTTCTGGCGCACCGCCCGTCACCCGCGCACCTGCACCAGTGCATATACCCGAGACTGCGGCGGTGGGCGCATGAGGACACGCGGTGTCATGGCGAGGCGTGGCCGGACTGTTACAGAATCAGTGAGCGTCGTCACACAGGTAGAATCATTGTACTGTTCCTTTGACGGATACTTTTGTATGCATCGATACCATCCGAAGAGCATCTTGATATTTTCAGAGATGAAAGGGAATGAGGGTGGTGCGTGTTAGGCAGGAGGAAGGGATGCGCCGTGTGAAACAGAGAGGCATGACGATGAGCGCCGGATGTGTGCCGTTGTCCCGAACATCGACCCCGTCCCGTCCCTTGCTATCGCAGCCAGGATATATAAGGCCTGGGCAGACCGTCAGGCCGCCGCTGATTCCGTCTTCCGGACGCCTTGACTCCTTTGCCCCTAGGTCCCTCTGAAGCGTACCTAGCCCTTTCCACACATCCCTTTTCTCCCGCTGCTACTAACCCTTCGCACACCCCACCACCATGGGCATGACATACCGCCGCTATCTCGCTGGTGCCCGTGTTTATGGGTGCTCGAACTGCCGTACCCACCTCTCCACCATCAATTCCATGATATCTAAGGTAGGGCGCAACATTCGTCTGCTTGTTCCCGTCACCTAACCGGGACCTACCCTTTCAGGCATTCCATGGACAGCACGGCCGCGCCTACTTGTTCGAAGAAGTGTGAGCGTTTTGATTAAACAGCTCCTTGAGCTCGAATAGCGTGTGGCTGATGGCGCCCTGCAGTGTCAATGTGATAGAAGGTGAACCGGTCGATCGGCAAATGACCACAGGCAACCACACCGTGCGCGACATCGAATGCGTCAAATGCCATGTCATCCTCGGTTGGAAATATGTTTGTCGCTTCGCCCTCCTTTCCTTTCGGTCGATGCTGATCGTCCGGTTTGGTTCGTGTGGCGCAGGACTTTGCATATGATTCGGACCAGAAGTACAAGGAGGGCAAGTACATCCTCGAGCGGAACCTGCTCGTCGACGTACAGTAGTCGTCCTGCCCCGCTTCCCGGCACCCTTTCTTTCGCTGCTTACGGTCCCAGGCATTACCCGTCTATCGCATCGCATCGCACTCAGCACTCGCGCTCGCATTTATTAGCGTGCCACACTGCACGCACTAGAGGTCGCCGCCATCGACACGCACTCGACTTGATCTACCTCGCATCGCCCCTCTCCATCGAAATTGCCATCGGCACGATATCGCAACCGCACTTCAATCGATGGTTCTGGGAACACGCTGTTGATCTTCCTGTCCTAATGCACTCGCGTGCGCAGTCTGTCCCGCTTGTAACCCCTATCGCGCTTTCCCCCCGCCGTTTGCACCGTCCTCATGCTGTCATCCCACGTGTCAGCGATGCTCTTGCCATCCATCTCACCCCTAGTTGTTCGCCTTTCCACAGACAGTGCCTTTGTTGCACAGGCAATGCGGGTGTTACAGGAGTGCCACTGCGGTGTCGCGAGTGCACTGCCCGTCGCATTAGACCTTTCCTTGTTCATCTCCGTTCTCACCCTCACCATCGACACCCGCGCTCCATCGACCTGCCTGCCCACCGTCTGCTTACCGTCATCCCCATCCCGTCCCCCGTCACCATTATCTAGCTGTGCGCTCTCCTGTTGTGTACGGTACGAGAAGTAATGAAGAGAAGTTCCGATATTCAAAGAAAATTAAGGCCGAGTAAATTCTAACGTTTGTCAGTGTGCTTCAGCTGGTGTGAGATGTCGAATATGGCACGTGTGAAGAGTCCGTGATGTCGAAGTATAGACAACGGTCGATATGTTATTTCAGCATCGTTCGAACGGAACGACAAAAATTATGCTCCCTGCAAGGCTCGAACTTGCGACCTCAGGATTTAACGGTTTACAACCGCTCATATAGATATGAGACCTGCGCTCTAGCCAACTGAGCCAAGGAAGCTCGACTAAAAAGGAAACATTAAATATGAACAGGTTATTGTTAGGCAAACGAGCCACAACCGCGCGAGTTGGCATTCCCACCGATGAATGTCTTTGCTTTCCCTGTCTCTCGATGTACGGCACGAAGCGGTCTGCGGCCGACACTCTTCTCCCTCTTCGCGCACCCAAGCAACCTCGGTTGTATATGTCTAGCGCATCCCTTGATGGCGCGTCTGCCTCTCAGCAGCAAGGCATTTTGTCCCGCTGGCTTTCCTACGGAGTTGAGCGATTCAAAACTGCCTATGCCAAAGCTGAGGCCTTTGTCGATTCCGCTTCCAACGTCCTTGACCGTGAGCTATCCGTCGTGTAAACCGGTCTCGACGATCTACATGTACAAACTTTTTTGCAGAGTTCGAGGGACCGTCCCGACCCACGCCAGGGCTGCCGCTGTCTCCATTCCCTGCAGAATCCTCCAAGCGGACGCCGTCTCCCTGTGAAGACGACGTCGTAGTGCCACACCACAAACGTGCCGCCCGCCCTCGCAGGCTTATGACCAATGGCTCTGCTCTCGCGCGCCATTCCAGCGATTCCACCTCCGTTCCTTCGCCTCGCGACACACTCCTCGATCCGGGCCCCTCCACCTCTCGCTCTGCTACCCCCGCATCTACATCTACATCCGCGCCCGCACTTGCACCCGCCTTCGAGCCGCAGCCCGTTGCCTCCACGTCCACCCGGCGTCTCATGCCACCACCTCGACGCGCCACGCGCCGACCGGACGTCTTCGACGATCGCCCTGACCCGCAGACGCCGCGTGCGCCTGCCAGCGACGGTCTGCCCTATGAGCGCGGCATGGCGCCGCCGCCATCGCCGCACATCCCCGTGACGGAGACACCGCGCGCTCCGCCTTTCACCGCGGTCCCTCCGCGTCCAGTCCGAACCCAGCGTCACTCGCATGAGCCGCTGCGCGAGCCGTCATCTGCGGAGACATCACCGAACTCAGCAGGCGACTCCTCGACAGCGGCGACGAGCGTCTCGCTGACGAGCGGGTGGACGACCTCTTTCGGATCGCAGATACGAGTGCAAGAAATGCAAGAGGTGTGCGATAAGGTTGAGCGTGCAATTAAGCCGAAGCGGCGGAAGCCGCCACCAGGCCGTAAACATCCGCTAGAGAGAGCAGTGCGTTCTCTGTGGATGCGGAAATTGCTCCTCGCCCGGCTAACACTTTGTAGCACAGGAAGGAGGTCCAGGCGAGTCGGAAGGGCGCGGTAACAGAGATGGAGGAGCAGTTGTTTGAACTCAAACGGAGGCAGGGTACGCGCCGCGGTGTGCACCGTCTTGAAGATAGTTGACCTGAATTTCAGGGTTTTCATCGGGCTGGGAAGATTTCAAAGGCGAGCATTGTTACAAATGGACGCACACGGATGACCCCTAACTACATGCAGGCATGCTGGCATACCAGGAAAGACTCGACGCGCTGGGGGCGAGCATGCCTGGTTCGCAAACTTCCCTCATATGCAATCGATAGGCCTAAGCTGTTTCTTCTAGCTTACCGATCCTACGATGATCTTCGCGGCATCGCACGGGAAGACGAAAAGCGACGAGCTTCATTCCACGGAGACTCTAGGGCGGAATTCCTTGAGCGCGCAATTAAGAAGGCTCGCGACACCCTTGCGAGGTACGCTTCCGCGTGCATTCTACTGCCTCAGATGGATTCATAGTCTTGTTTACAATAACAGCCCGAAGCCTCCTAAACCGTTCATCCCGACTGACGAGTTACGACGAGTCCAGGATGAAGTCATCGAGAGACGCCTTCGTCCGCCTTTGCCGAAGAATATGCCGCAGGACGCAGAGCTAGACGTGAAGCGTGCGCTACAGAAACGTGGCACGGTCGCAAAGTTTGCGCGCGAGCAAGTCGGTGATCAGGACCTCGCGCGTTTGCGGCCAGGCCAGTGGCTTAACGATGAAATCATCAACTTCTACGGCGCGCTCATCCTCGCAAGATCCGACGCGAGGAAGTCACAGTCGAACGGTGCGCTGGCGAATGGGAATGGGCACGCGGATAAGGGGAAGGGGAAGGTGTTGGACTGCCACTACTTCAATTCGTTCTTCTGGACGAAGATGGTGAACGAGGGCTATGAGAAATCTAGGCTTAATAAGTGGACGAAGAAGGTACGTTATCGTGAGCATTTGCAGTCGGAGGCTAGACGGAACTGACGGCCGGCTGGCGAGCAGTTTGACATCTTCGCGAAGGACGTCGTACTTATACCCGTAAACCACCATAATACGCATTGGACCGGCGCGGCGATCAATTTCAGGGAGAAGCGGATCGAGTCGTACGACAGTATGGGCGCAAAGAATAAGATCGTCTTCGAGGTGCGTCTAGTCCATTTGCTTGCGCGAGGTACTCGGCCGACGTGCCTTTTCAGGTCTTGCGCGAATACCTTGACGCGGAGCATCGTGACAAGAAAAAGAAACCGTTCGATTTCACGAGATGGCAAGACCACGCGCCAGTGGTATGCTTTGCTGCTCTCTTATGTTTATGCCGGAAACCATGACACGATCCCCCTCAGACAACACCTCGACAAGAGAATGGCTACGACTGTGGCGTCTTCACGTGTCGGTTCCTGGAGATGCTTTCGCGTGGCCAGGACTTCAACTTCTCACAGCGTGACATTCCGTACCTTCGTCGAAGGATGATATGGGAGATTATACACGGGGAGCTGCGCGACGATGCATCCGACATCGCCGCCGCAAATGTTACTTGATATTCAGCTGTGTTTTGCTTCGCACTAGGGTAGAGCTGGCGTTGGCGTTGGCGCTGCACGTAATCAGGAGCATGGAGCGCGTATGCTTTTGTCCGTCGCGACCTCCAGCATGCAAAGACAAGACGATGATTCCGGTGTGCACGAATAAATAGCGTGCAGAGCGAGTGGTGTAGACATGCGAAATAAGACGAACAGGCGTATGATAGGGCAGTGCAGGCGTGCGAGAGTGGTGGTAGAGGGGCAGATGGTTAGCGGCGAAACCACCAGACGATAATGAAAAACCAAAAGACGACGACACCGAAGACCATGTACCACATCCAGCGGCAGCCATGGCGAGCAGCCATATTGTTCATCCGCCGGAAGGTGCCCGCGAGGATGCCGCCGGTCTCCGCGAACGCGTCGTTCTGTACGCATCCAACGACGCCACCGTCGGGCGACTCGTCAACGAGAGACAAAAGGGAGGGGAAGGAAGACGATGCGCACCATTTGGCTCAACTGGATTGTGGACTCGCGGACCTCGTTGCCGATGCCGATAGACAGCTGCCCGACCGTTGTTTAGTCCTGCTGAAGGGTGATACTTGACGAAAGCGAGGACGCACGTCTTTCAGCAACTTAACCTTGGCACCAAGCCCATCAATGGCTTCATCGTTCTGGCTCTCGAGGTTGTCTGCAAAGCGCTGTCCGTACGCGTACGGGTTTGCGGCGTCGGAGTCGTTGAAGGGCGTCGAGCGGCCCGAGTGGGGAGGGGTATTATATTCGCTGAGGCCGAGATTCGCGCGGGCGTTTGGGCGATATCTGTCAGTGGACGTCAAGTCCGGGCTGGGAGGGAGCGGGTAATGGCTGCTTGCCGTTGGGACATGTCGAAAGTGTTGTCGGGACGAATTCGAAAGGACGGAACTGTGGCAACGTGGCTGTCTTCGGAGCGAACTCGGCAGGCTGGGGTCCAGAAATGGGCAGGCGCGTGGCGACGTGGCTTGGTCACGTGAGTTGATAGGCCTCAGTCAGAAAGGCTGACGTCACGACGGCACGGAGAAGAGTCGTGTGCTCCGGCGCTTCCACGGGATGAGCTGACTTGAGCGCAGACGTCGAGCGAGACCGGTTCGCAGACAGACGAATTAGCAAGCACAATCAGCAAGATGAGGCAGCGGCGACATCGAGCGGGAAACGGGGCGATGCACGAGTCCGTCCTGGCTGTTAGTCGCTCCCGAACAGTCGACCCACCTCCCTTCCTCTTGGCTACTGAGACCTGATCGCGCGTTAACTGTGTGTTGTGTTACGCGAACACTCTCGCCTCTTTCACCCGAGCCTCCGATCCTATAAATCATCCTGCACACCGCATCGCCTCGTCTTCGGCCCTCTTTCCATTCTCTCCACCCGCATCACAATGTCCCTCCCGACCCCCGCCACTCAGCCAGACGAGAAGCCTGGCGTCTTCATCGACGTCCTGGCGCCCCGAGCACTCCATCTTGCACAATCGCCACAGGAAGGCCTCGTTCTGACGCGCCTCTCCTATGAAGACATTGACGCTTACGAACGCGTTCGTCTTTTTTCTCCTCGTGTGCCAGTGCTTCGGTCCGGTCTGTCTCACGCAATTGCTCCCGTGGCGTCGCAGCGTAATTGGCAGCCTTCGCTCTGCCTCGGCCTGCTCGTCCTCATCCTCGCCGCCCTCGGCACACTTTTCCTCCTCTTCCTCCTCATTCCCGACGCTGTGCGCGTGCTTTTGTGAGCTCCCGCATCCTTCGCATCATTTCGCTGACTGAGCGGGCTTTAGGCCGGATAGACTCATCGGCTGCAATCACCAGGCTTAACGCCGTGCCGCCGAGCGCTCCGCGTGTCCATTTTCGGCCTCGGCACCTCGGCATGGACCCGAGTATGGCTGATGCCACTGCCTACGCTGGAGCACATACCTTCGTGGCGCCATACCGAACCGCCTGCGTCCCTATATATCATCGCGCAGCCCTCATTCCTACCTCCCTTCCTGTACGTTGTACTATATTGTAGACATCAGCACATGTATCACTATACCACGCCTACGAATCGCCATGCTTGCACCTCGCCCTCCTTTTCGCGTTTCACGATCAGGCGCCCACTCGCTCATGCTGGAATCATTCCTCCGCGCGGCGTGGGTTCACCTCTTGGCAAATATGATTGTTTTGCGGCTCCAGACTCACAGGCGAGCAGCTCCGATAGGAGCTGTGCTATAAGTTCGGTACTTTACCGCACACGCGATCCCCATGCGACGTCGCCCATGCACGTG